ATGCATTACCAAGCTTCATCGCTGGAATGACGAAGCTAAAGGTTCTGACAATCACAAATCACGGAGTTTATCAAGCAAGATTGAGCAATTTCTCGTGTCTCAGTTCATTACCAAACCTGAAACGGATCAGATTGGAAAAAACTTCAATCATTTTGCTGGACATTCACCGACTGAAACTCAGCAGTCTGAAAAAGCTATCTTTGGTCATGTGTAGTTTCGGCGAGGTTTTCTACGACACAGAAGAAATAAATGTCTCTAAAGCTCTGCAAAGTTTACAAGAGATTGACATAGACTATTGCTATGATCTCGATGAGTTACCTTACTGGATCTTTGAAGCTGTTTCATTGAAGACACTCAGCTTCACAAACTGTAATAAGCTCTCTAAACTTCCAGAAGATATAGGCAACTTGAGTAAACTGGAAGTGTTGAGGCTGAGTTCTTGTATTAATCTTTCAGAGCTGCCTGAAACGATCGCCGAACTAAGCAACTTGCGGGTTTTGGATATCTCGGATTGCTCAGGATTAAGAAAGTTACCTCTAGAGATTGGGAAGCTGGAGAAGCTAAAGAAGATCTCGATGAGGAAGTGTTGGAGATGCGAATTACCGGATTCAGTGAGGAAACTAGAGAATCTGGTGGTGATCTGCGACGAAGAAACTAGAATGGTATTGTGGGAAAGGTTGAAGCCAAAAATGAGAAATTTGAGTGTTCATGTGGAGGAAACAGAGCATAACCTGAACTTGCTTCAAATGTTTTAAATCGTGAGTGAACCATTGTTTTCCTAGCTTGTGTAGATTATGTAATGTTGTTATGTCATCAATATAAATGGAAATTGTATGTTTATTAATAAAGTTGACACACATTACATAAGAATAAGAGTATTTTATTTTATTATGAGCTATTGAACTCTAGGGAATTTAAATTATAAGCTTTTTTATTTATAATGAGCCCTTTTGTTTTTAGACCCATAGAAATACATCTTGTGGCTTTTGTAATTTTCTGTTAAGTTCAGGCTTCTCTCTTGGGCATTGTCTTCCCCCGGCTTAGTTTCTGGATTCTTTCCGATTTTGTATCCTACCATGTATGTTACTTGATTTAATATAATATTTTAGATGACAAAAAGACATACATCTAACGCTTATTTTAATGGGTCGCTATTAATTTTTGCTGAAAAAGACATTAAAATGCAAGCGTTCGCACGCGCGAAAGAAGGTTCGAAACATTTGCACCACGTCGTGTGACGAACTCTTGAGAAACGCCTAAAGGAAGATGGAGTCGGCCCTCGATAGAAGGTAGTGCAGCATTGGCTTAGGACCTCCGAAAAGTTTATTACAACTAGGGGCTAAAATTAAATAAAAAAAAGCTTATTAGCACTGCTGTTTACAGCTGGTAGTAACCATAACAACAAGGTGGCGGGTTCGAATACCCTAGAGAAAACCATTTGTTTTCAAGTGTTTTTTAGAAATAATATATTCCCTCTATTTCATAATGTAAGTTGTTTTAGTTAAAAGCGCGGATATTAAAAAACTACTTTTTTACTAAATTCTTTATGTAATGATACGAGGATTTCCCTAATTATAAAAGCTTTTCTAATTACGCATTTATTTCTGGGCCTATAGAATTATATAAGGCTTATTTGAATGGGCCGTTTAAAATGCTGGCTAGGAAAAAGAAAGAGATAGAAAATGGCATACGTTCGCACGTGGGAAGAGGAGTAAGAAACACGTGCAGCACGTCGTGTGACAATTTTCGTCTTCCAAACTCACTTGACTTGAGAAACGCCCAAACGAAGACCCAAACGCAATTTTCGCAGCAAGTCAACGACAGCAAAGATTGCTTTGCGATTTATAGCTAAAGCTTTATTTGATTTCGTCTTCCAGACGTGGCTTGGCACATTTGAGAGATGCTCTTCTCAACATTAAATCTGTGAGCTTTATCTGAGAGAGAAGACGAACAAGGATGGCTGCTGAACTGGTAGGAGGTGCTGTTCTGGGAGCTTTTGTCTCTGAGGGTCTGAAACGTTTGATTGCAAAGGCAGAAAGAGTGTTGGCGTTCGAAGATGTGTCTAAGGAGCTCGCATCAACGATGAAGGATTTGCTACGGATAGTCGAAGAGATCGAATCGTTGCAAGGAGATGAAGAACTGAAGAATCTGAAGGTTACGATCGATGCAGCTGAGGCCTTGGTTGAGAAATGTTTACCCGTCAAAAAGTGGAATCTACGCAAAAAAGATATATACACTAAACAAGTCTGGAAAATCCAGAAGGATATGCTCAAGTTCTGTCAGGTTCAACTACAGCTTCTTCTTCTTAGGAACCAAGCGCAGTTTAAGCTTATGTTGGAAGACATTAATAGCAAGCTCGACCATTTGAATGCTCCTGTTTGTAGGAATCGTTGCTCGGCTCCCAAGCCTGATAAGGCTCTTGTTGGATTTGATTGCCCATTGAAGTTGCTACAGGATAAGCTCATTAATGGTTCTGAGAGCAGCCTTCTGGTGTATGGTGCTCCTGGATGCGGGAAGACCTCGCTGGTTACTCACCTTTTCCACGATAAAGATATCAACGGTATGCATGAAAGTATCTATTTTCACACTTGGCATTGTACTTGTTGTTTCTCATCTAGTTTCCATTGGCAGAGAAGTTCAAGAAGAATATCTTCTTTAATGTTGTGTCAAGTGCTCCTAACTTTAGGAGAATAGTACAGAATTTGTTCCAGCACAAAGGTTATGCAGCACTTACATTTGATAACGATTCTCAAGCAATTGTTGGCTTAAGCGAACTGCTTGAGGAACTCAAAGAAGACGGTCCTATATTATTGGTGTTGGATGATGTGTGGCATGGAGCGGAGTCCTTGCTTAAGAATTTTCAGAATAACATACCAGTTGTTCCGGATTTTAAGATCTTGGTGACTTCTAGGTCCTACTTTCCGGGTTTTAGTTTCAGTTATGATTTGAAACCTTTGCAAGACAAATATGCCAAGGACCTTCTCATTGAATGTGCATCTCGGCCTGATGCAGCATCTGAAGCTGAGTATGATGTTCTTCTCCAAAAGGTACTAGTTTCATCTCTGTGAAGTCTAATAATTATGATTTTAAACTTCGATTGTCCTCTGTGTGTGGAAACAATAGATTCATCTTTTAACATGGTGGGGATTACAGATATTGAGACGTTGCAGTGGATTCCCAATCGTAATTGAAGTAGTAGGCAGTTCACTTAAAGGACAACCTCTACATGTATGGACAGGCCAAGTGGAAAGCTGGTCTCAAGGGGAAACAATTCTTGATAATGCTAGTGTGCTAGAACGTCTGGAGCCTAGTTTCAATGCCCTGAAACCCCGTCTTAAAGAGTGTTTCATGGACATGGGTTCATTTCTTGAAGACCAAAAGATATGTGCTTCTGTTATAATAGACATATGGGTGGAACTACACGGTAAAGGTAGTACTAGTAGTAGTACCATGTACATGAAATACCTCAATGACCTTGCTTCCCGGAATCTGCTTAAACTTATTCCTCTCGGGTATGTTGTTTATGCGTCGACATTGTGTCCTTGCAAGAAGGTCTACCTTTTGATGAACTTGTTTATTTACTTACCAGGAGAAAGGAGCCTGAAGATGGATTCTACAATGAGTTCTTAGTCACTCAACATGACGTCCTTAGGGAGTTGGCGGCTATCCGTCAACGCGAGTTGGATAGAAAAAGACTCTTGTCTATCTCTACAGGTAATTCTTTCAAGCCTTTTTCCTCTGAGAATTTGAACATAGAGATTATATCCACTGTTTCTAGATTTATGACTTTCCTATAGGCTATAGCTAGACTTTGTCTTTCTTTTTGTTACAGATGATTCTTCTTCATCGAATTGGGTTGAAATGGAGTGCCCCAATGTTGAGGCTTTAACTGTTAATATCTCTTCATCAAACTATGAATTACCAAGCTTCATTTCTACAATGAAGAAACTAAAAGTTGTGATTATCATAAATCACGGTTTTTCTCCAGCAAGATTGATCAATTTCTCGTGTCTCAAATCATTACCAGACCTGAAACGGATCAGATTGGAGAATGTTTCGATCACTTTTCTGGACATTCTCCAGTTGCAACTCAGCAGTCTCAAAAAGGTATCCTTGGTCAGGTGTAGTTTTGGTGAGGTTTCCCACGACACAAAAGAAATAGTAGATGTCTCTAAAGCTCTACGGAGTTTACAAGAGATTGACATAGACTATTGCTATGATCTTGTTGAGCTACCGTTATGGGTCTTTGAAGTTGTTTCATTGAAGATACTCAGCATCACACATTGTAACAAGCTTTCTATACTTCCAGAAGCTATAGGCAACTTGAGTAAACTGGAAGTGTTGAGGCTCTGGTCTTGTATTAATCTCTCTGAGCTTCCTGAAACGACTGCGAGACTCAACGATTTGCGGTTTCTGGATATTTCTGATTGCACTGAATTGAAGAAGCTGCCTCTAGAGATTGGAAAGCTGCAGAATCTGGAGAAGATCTTGATGAGGAATTGGTCGGGATGTGAATTGCCGGATTCAGTGAGGAATCTAGATAATCTGGTGGTGAAATGCTATAAAGAAACTACAACTGCATCCTTGTGGAAAAGTTTGAAACCAAAAATGAGAAATCTGGAAGTTAAGGAAGATGAACCAGAGCATAACTTAAACTGGCTTCATCATATGTTTTGAAATCTGAGTGAAAAAAGGAAACATTTTTTATTCATAGCTTGTGTGGGTTCTTGTAATGTTGTTTATTCTTATGCCATACAATGTTCATGAAGAGGAAACAGAGCATAACTTGAACTTCTTCCTCTTTTTTTTTATTTTTATTTACTGATAATAATAAAGCTATAACATTACACATTTTGATTAGTG